ACTGAGTAATGCATACCAAAAGCTTTAAATTAACAGCTTACGCATACAAGTCTATGAGTAAACTGTTAATTTAAAGCTTTTGGTTTACATTACTCAGTTTTTAATGCAAAACGTTTGTCACTTAATTAATAAATCGTATCACACATACGGGTGACGGCTCTACGGAGGTTAGCATTGTTTGGCACCCGGCGTCTCATATTATAGGGAAGGGTCACCACTTTCATGGCCAACCATTTGTTGTCAAACATGTCGTATATTTTCCAGATTTGGTTATCATATAAATTGAGCTCTACCCTGGCTATATTCGTGCCCAGTCTCAGTCCTATGTCATTGAGCACCTGGAGGTGGTGTTCCCTAAGACCCGGCTCATGGAAAGCATACAATGGTTTGTCATAGTATGGACTCAGCGCCCGAAGTACTCGTATGTTATAATCGCGTTCATTGCCCGACAAACCAATGAATACACCGTTTATTATAGCGATTATCTGTGGATCCAATTCAGTGGTGTTTAATGTGTTCATCGCTAATACACTTCAAACTTTCAATACTTATTACAAAACTATTAATTTATTTAATTAATTAAAATTGAATTGATTACTAACTTCATAAGTCAGTCACTGTATAAATGTTGGATTTATAAACCGGAAAACGTGCTCAAAAAATAAGACTAATTTTTTCACAAATTATTATGAATTTTATGGTTAGAAATATGATTAAGAAAATAACTGCATGAATAACCCAGGTTAAATATTAGTTTCAAAAATATTAACATTGATTAGAATTATTTTAGCATTTAATATACTTGTTAAAATATATACAGAGTAGACTAATTTATTTAAGTTATTATAATATTAATATTTGTTAAGCTTAAAAATACTTGCTAAAATAAATTGATTATAAAACATAGCATGCCAATAATAGTAATTATTTAATACTTCCCATTTATAAATAATTGATAACATTATTAAGTTAATATATTTTTATTAATAAATAGCGTAATTAAAACTTATTACAATTAAATATATATTTTTCAAATTATTTTCGCGCATATATTGCAATAATTAGTCAACACCTGTGCAATGGTTGGCCTATTATCGGGTGTTTGTATAATCCATGCCATCAAAGCACACAAATCCAAATTCACACCACAAAACACATCCAGTTCCTCATGGGTTAGCTCATTCCTACTAATGGGATGTATGTCTGGCTCAGTTACAGTATTAGCCAAATATCGCAAAAGGTTTACGTGAAGATCCCATCCCACAAGAGTTATAGCCAAACACACGCCTAAATCCCATACGTCTATCGATTTTGTAGGTATATCTCCAATGTGTCGATATGGCCCATAATGCCTGTCCACTGAATAGATATCTCTATCACTGACATTAAAACAAACGGATTCTTCAAAGTCTGTTAACTTATATATCCTTTTGTCGGAGTTATCGATACGTTTACACAATATATTGGCCGGGCGTATAGCCATATGACTGATCCATACGCCGTGCGGCTCCCGGAGCCCATTGTGTAGGTGATCGACTGCATCGGCTATTTGTCGGAACCATTCCCTGGCCATCGGCTCCGGTAAACAATTATCCGGTTGTTTATCCAGAAGTGCGATCAAATCCTCGTCCATCTGATCCATAAGGAAACAGTGGAACAGAAAGGGAACTCCAGTTGAAGGGTCCGGGAGACTGAACTCACGGATCACTTTCACAATATTCTGGTGGTTGAGGAACAGTAGTGTTTTGGACTCCTTTTGCATCCCACGGACAGCCATTTGAAGATTATCTCTATTGGGCACCATATCGTCCATATGATTGTGAAGGCTAATCACTTTCATAACATACCTGTCCCCCGATTTCATGTCACATACACTCCAGAGTTGGTTATCAAATAAATCACATTTCCGTGCTATACATTCACCGCATACCAGTCCCTCATCCCTGAGCATTTGGTGGTGGTGTTGCTTATATCCAATCTCACCAAAAGCATACAATGGTTGGCCATAGTATGGACTTAACTCCCGGTGCACTCGTTCACTATACCCTGGTTCATTTTCAGATAAATCCGGAAAATTATAATAAATGTTGTCGATATAAGCAAACACTTTGGGGTCCAATATGTTTGCATTTCTAATATTCATTGAATTATTATTAGTATACTATTAATTAGTAAACAAAATTAATTTAATAAAATAACAAATACAGTATTGAACACTATTTATAGAAAATATATGATAGATTATGTATAATGTTTAAAAGTCATACACGTTTCGAGGTTATGCCAATTATGGGGAAAATTTATTGATACTAGGAAATTGTTTTTATAGATTTCTGAAATGAAAAGGAAATATGATTTCATGCCAATGAATACAATTTTAATATCAATTATATTTAACTGATCGCAACCAGTAAACAGATAGAGTAAATAAACTATTTATGTACAATAATAAATTATCTAGTAATAACTACTGTAAGTTTTAATGGCTAAAATTATACACTATCTAATTATACTCAATGACTTAAAAATTAAAAACAATTCATAAATTTAAAACAAAAAGGTTCAAGCAACTTTACAAAATAAAGTTTTTAGTTTTAGTATATAGTTTTATATTAGTCTCACACTAATGGTAGTTAAGTTTAGAAAACTACTATCGACATACAGAAATAAGTTAAAATGTATTATTATAAATGTAAATTAAAGCAAAATGAATTTTTTACAGACAAAAGTTATACCGGTAATCAGTTTGTAAGTAACAATCAACAATGAAATCATTTAGCTTTTCAGATAAAACTTAATTCATGTTATGTTCAGTAATTTCAGTAAATATGTAATAGTTTGACGTTAGTATAATAATTAATAGTATAATAATAAAACAATTTCACTCTAGACAAGTTGTTGTCTTAATTTAATACACACAATAAGGATACAAAAACAAAATTATAAATTATTGCAGACATTAGCGACACAATTACCTAATTTATCATAAAATCTGTAATATCAGTATTTATAAAACACATTGATTAAATGAAAAAAATATGTATTGTACTTGTACAGTATATTGTATTAATGTCAAGCATTAATTATATATTATTTATAGTCAATACTATTTATAGTATAAATTACATTTATGATTTTAAATGGTAAAAACTTAATTGTTTCAAATATAGCGCAAGTAAAACATGCCATCTTAAATCATGTTAATAAACAATTAAATAATCTTAACTATATTAGATTAGAAAAATTGCTATTATAGGTAATTATAAAACACGTGAACTTAACTTTTATCACATTATTACATTACTTTTTAGGTAGTTTATGATTTAATTAAGTAATTAAGAAATACTATCCATCACTTACTTACTCATGTAACTCATATTTACTATAATAAAAATGTGTGATTCAGTGATTCATATCTATGGTTAATTCAGTTGTAATAATAAAACATGTTCTCAGAGTTATAAGGGTGTCAACATTTTCATTAACAACTCAAACATACAATACAAACATAAAAACTTTTATTGTTAAACAACTATTACACAAAAAGTGTAATATTATTACTTAACACACATTTTAAATCTTATTGTTTTTATTAATATTTATTTAATTCAAAATTTATGCTTACTTCATTTACTATTTACTTGAATTAAATTGATATAAAAATTTTAATACTTTCATTAACTTAAACGTAATAAGACTTTGTGATTTAACTGCCGGTGCTTAAGTATACTAAGTTACCATAATGTGCGGCATAGATAGGGGCCGGTACGCGGGTGCGGCCGATGACCGGGAACTCGATGAATACATATGCGCTATATGTCTGGCCATTTACGTCAACCCTATGGTCACCCAATGCTGTCGACAGACATACTGCTACTCATGTATAGACCAGTGGCTGACAAGTTATAACACCTGTCCCAATGATCGTGGTCCACTGTATATGAACGAAATGCTACCGGCGCCCCGAATAGTACACAATTTATTGGCTAATATGCCGGTGAGATGCGAGTACTACGGGAACGGGTGCTTAACGGTGGTAAAGGTATGCCAATTGGCTCACCATTTGCTATACGAGTGTCAGTACATCGAAAAGTGCGGTATTTGTGGTTACGATAGGAATGGCGTCAATACGGGCCACAACTGTAACGCTATACTGAGGGGTCAGTGCGAGAGGTTGACCGCCGAGAACCAGTGCCTCATAGACAGGAACGGCGTGTTGTTTATGGATAGTCAACGGCACCGGGTGCTCATGGAGGGTATGGCCAACGAAATACAGAGGCTTAATGAAATGAACGCACAGTTAGCCTATGATTTAGAGGCTTTACGTCGTGATCGACCGGTAAGTAATGTATAATTAGTTATAAAAAGTTTTTTAGTTAACAAGGTTAAATATATTTCTCATAGAATATTAATTATATGGATGAGAGTATGAACAATAGTCGTAATACCGGTGCCCAATCTGAACCTGATGTTTACGAAGTAAACAATTCACTGGATTCTCTATTGGACTTGGATTATAATACAGGTGCCCACACAGACCCTGTTGATTATTCACTGGATAATCAGCCACCGGCTTCCCTATTGGACTGGGATTATGATGACGATACCAACGATACCATTATGGCCATCGATGGCAATGATAATGATAATCAAAACACTAATCCACCGAATAATACTCTGAATCAGCCGGATAACCGTATACTACCTGACCCTATCATAGCCTTAGATAATAGGCAACCGGCCAGGGATGCAATTCCCGAGCGTTTCGATACGG